GAATAAAAACGGGTGCCCTAAAAAGTGTGAATGAATCGTGCGGATGTCTTTTTTATATATAAAAATAAATACATGTTTGAGAATAAAAGTCAAAATATAAAATTGCATTTCTTTATTACCAAAGATATTTTTATGAAATAAAACACTTCTTATGAATAACGATACAATATTTAAGAAACTCGTTATTTCGCTGATGGTGAAGAGGAGGAAGGTAATGATAATGATAATAAACCATCCATAGTTGTTACCTTTTCACTGTCCTTATTAATCTTTAGAGTCGATGGTGATACAAAACTATTGTTATCAACATATAGTAATGTTCTCTCGGTGGTATTCACCACTTTTTTAACTCTCCTAGTATTACTAGTGTTATTACCACGACTACTATTACTACCATACGTGTTTATTACCACANCGTATTATATTTAATATTGCGGATTTCTATATGCGATGTTTAATAAAATATTATATATTATATATATATATATATATATATATATATTATATATATATATATATATATATATATATATATATATATATATATATATTAATATATATATATATATATATATATATATATATATATATAATAAATAAAATATATTATATTTTTCATTCAAATCTTGCATATCGTTATCCTTCTAGGAATATACAACAGATATAGAATATCTTAATATATCAAGTGAGGATAATGAAGAAACAAAAAAGAGGAAACATATAGACAATGACACACAAATAGTAAGAAGAAACATGAAGACAATTTGGCAGTTACAGCAACAAATTCTGCAGAACATCAATCTAGCAATATGTATGTATTAGAATATAACGACTGTATTGATATTGATCATAACGACAATGATAATATATCGGTAGATAATAAAAAAATATTATCTATAGAATACCCTAATAATAAAGATGATCATCAATCTGGAGGTAATAATGTTACACCAAAAGAAAAGTCGTCTTCAAATACTGGTAAAGATGATAATGGTGACGTAAAAATCTAATAATCATCGTACTGATGATCAAAAAAAAAAAAACTGCGATAAATCCTAATATGAATATACCAAAAAAAAGTCACCTTCAAACACTGGTAAAGATTGTGATGACAATGATTACGGAAAATTGAATACAAATGATGATAACAGTTGTCCTTATAATACTAACGACACTGTATCTACCAGAAAACGAAAAGCTGACATCGAGTCTACAGACAATACAGAAATGAACAATGAAAACAGTACCGAAGAAAAAATCAAATTTATTAGTGGTAACACAGCAGTAAAATATACTAAGTGTAGTAAGAAACATCAAGATACAACAAAAATGGTTGGACTTCATGAAAGTGGTAGATCAAGAGTAAAGAACAAAACTGACAAATCAGAGAATAGTAACAAAAAAGAAAAAAAAAAAGAAGAAAAAAAAGATAACAAATCAGATAATAGTAAAAAAAGAAAAAAAAAAAAAAAGAAAAAAAAATCAGAAGAACGAACTTACAGTAAGGGATATCAACGATGACCAAGTATATAAAACCTTTTTAGATTTAAAGTATTATACTTCGCTATATAATGTTGACATCGATAATGTTAAGTCTTTTGATAATTTTTTGAATGAAGATTCGTATATTAACCCTGGTCTCGTTGTTTATAATATCGATGAGTTTTCATTAGAACTTCAGAAACTAATAAATGAGGGTAGCAATAAATCGGCATGCGTCGCATTTGCCGAATGTATATTTAATCAACTGGAAGACAGCTGTTGTCGGCAGAATGATGATACTTTTATTGAAGATTCAGACATTGTTCAAGAGACCTGTGACTCTTTTAAAGAAAAGAGTCTATTCTTATTCTACGCCATTATAACATATAGTATGAAACAGTCTATATCATCAAATACTATATTAAGTATTGTCGAAAAGTACCAAGATTATATTTTAAGAGTCTCCATCTCTTCACCAAAGAGATAGAAGAGAAAATGGAAGGAGTGTTAGATATGGATTCGCGATATTCTTTCTTGTGTACCTGTATATTAAACAATTACTATTATCGAAAATCGTCCTATAGTAATAATAATAATATTATTCCGACGAGATGTGCAATTTTTGCACGTAATATTAAGGATAATAACATCATTATACGCGCAAACAAATTCTTTTAATTCTTCTTTTGCTTGTGTGCATTCATTATTGTACAGTTCTAATTTTTTGTTTGTTAAACATATTCAGGATAAGCAGTTTCTCTTTACCTACTCGGATGGAACAGCGGACCATGTGATTACGATATTAATATCCTATGAGATGAATAGTGAACAAAATGTAGATTTAAAGACGATCCATTTTGGAGTCTTTAAAGTATATATAGCCGGTTCCAGTATTTCACCCACTGGTAACACAATAATGAAAAAGATCATTAATCGAGTGAGACTGGAGATGGTAGGGTTGTCAAAGCTCGATACCGATCCATTCAAGTTTCCTACTTGTAATGATTTACTGTTATCGTGGTCACCGCTCTAAGTAGAACCGACGCTCGATGTTTTCTCCCTCTCTTGCGTTCGTATAATATTGATAACATTCCCTATAATATTGATAATATTCCCTTTCAGATTATTGCCCGTGATATTTATGATTGTTCTAGAGAGATGTGCATCGCTTTTTCACAAATTAGAAATTCAGGTGCTACCTCGAAATATAAAGAACAGATTGTTGAAAAACTATTCTCAATAAGGTGTTCAAGATCCGCGCAGTCTGGTTTAACTCCCGTTGTGACCGAAGACGGAATGACAAGCTATTTTCTGGCAACAGGAACACTGCATAAACCTCTAAAAACATGTCCTGTTGAAACGAGATACGAAACTATTTTAACCCCTCTGTTAATCGATCCGACAGTTGATGAGGTATGGGCTCTTAAGAAAAAAGCTACTTTATGCATTAAAGATACAATCATTTATTTGTACCAAAATAAAGTGATAACAAATATAACGGATTTGGTAAAACTCGTTGACAGTAACGCCTCGAATTTCGATCAAGTTTTTTCATCCGAGGTTTTGGGTCCTGGGTTTAATTTGGAAATATTCAAACCGTTATTTTTGTCTAAAGTCATAGATGAAAATATTAGTAATGAAAGTAGTATCAAATCAAGAATCACTAACATTTTATCAAAGAATATCAAGACATATCAACCGATATTGTTTTAGTAATACAGAAATTAAAAGACATATTCTGTAATAATAACAATACACTGCAAGATATCATAAAAATTATAGCTGATACTTTTTTATCATTACGTTACTTGACCATTATCCGATGAGGAAGAGGCGACGGCGTTATCATCATCGTCGTTCAATCAATACAACTCGCTTGATCTAATTCGAATATGTTTACATTCCTTTTTCTTAGAGTTGTGGTGTTGTCTGCAAAATATTTTGACTGTTAGTAATAGTCTCATTACTTTCACAGGCTTTAAATTAATTTCTTTTGCGTTTTTCTTGTATGCTTCTTCTCTAGACGAGTTGTTATTAATATATTCATCATCTAATCTTTTTTCTTCCTATTATCAATGGGGTTACGGACTTTTCGATATGACATGTAAAGTGTCTTGTTTGATAGCTACTCATCTACAATACTTGGCTTCCACACAAAGGTGTAACAGTATACTATCTCAACACGCATATGTAAATATTAGTGAGATTGTATCTGATGTCATTGGCAAGTTTCCTTTTTTACTGATGATGTTTTATATTGGAGATGATCAGATCAAAGAAAAAAAAAATATAAACTATTTTTTTTGTGACGATATAATTGTATTGTTAAACGACCTTATGTTGGAAAAAAGATACCCGAGAACATATATCGTCTTTTTTCTACATATGATGGTGACGAGGCTCGTTATCACAATATTACTGTCTGGGGTGATAATTTACACAATAGATTTAACGAAGAAATAACATTGAATAATAAACATAAAACACAAAGGTCACAAAAATTTTTGATAGATAACAGACCATGGCAAACGCAATGCGACGCAGTTGTTAAATTCCAAAGAGACTGGGGGGACTCTATGGTAACAGCTATAGAGGAAATATTTGCTCATACAAGTTTTGAGCTATCAGATAGCTATAATGATTCGTACAGTAACATAATATACCCTAGCAACCCCAGTATGAGTATGGTTCCATGTTTGACCACTTCAAAGCTCACTGATATTTTTTCAATTAAAGACAACGTATATATCTTTGATAATGTGTCTTGTCTGCGTACATTTATCGATATATTAACGAGTAAAATTCGAAAAAAAGAAATGCATATAAAGTTCTTGATCTTATAAAACATAGATTGACAAATCACAGTGATGTGGAAAAGTATAACTTATTTCGGTCACATATAACAAGTATTTTTGACAAGACAAATACAATCTGGAATCACCCTCCAAATAAATTAAGTCTTGACACGATATGCGAAATGACAATGAAATTTCTAAAAGATTTCCCTATATATGATAAACACGAAACGATAGAAACGACGATGAGAACGTTCGTTATAAATAGTAAAAATGAAATAAATGTAACAATGAACGAAATAGAAGAATTGGTAAACAAAGCGAACTCTCAAAACCTCAAGATAGGAAATCTTTTAAACCAAATAACTAAAGAGGTTAACAACGTTATAATAAAAGTACAATATATACAATCACAAGAAAAAAAAAAGAGACGAGTTTATTGAAAACATAAACAAGAAAATAGCATGAAAAGATGAAAAGATGGATGTTCAACAAGAAATAACAACAGCTGCTGCTGTTTTATCTACGGCTGCCGCCACCACAAAATTAACTGTAGATGACTCGTCTTATCCAATGGCAACATCACCACCACTTGCAACATCAGAAAAAAAACACATCACAGAAATATCAGTCGTGTTGATACCAGAGACCTGTAACGACTCGTTATTGCAGTCGCAGCAAAGCTGTCTGTGCACACACATATGCACAGGCAGCACAGCCGACATGCTGCCACAGCCCCCGACACAGCCGCAGCGCTGCGCCGACATCCGACTGCCCGACAGCCGCCAACTCCCGACACAGCCTCTGCCGCTGCACAGACATGGCCGACGCGCTGCCCACAGACCGCCGCTGCCGACAACAGCCGCCGCCACACATCCGGCGCACATGCGCTGTCACAGACAGCCGACATCGCTGCCGACACAGCCGCCGCGCGCGCTGCCACAGCCGACACACCGACATTGCCGACACAGCCGCTGTCACAGCCGAAACCGACATCGCTGCTGCCGACACACAAACAGCCGACAACAGCCGCTGTCACAGCTGGCGCACAGCCGCACACCGCCGGCCGGCCGCTGCGCTGCCACAGCCGACGCAACAGCCGCCCAAGCCGCCGCGCCAGACATCGCTGCCGAACACAACAGCCGACAATGCCGAGACACAGCCGCTGCAGCCGCTGCCACAGCCGACACAACCCATCGCTGCCGACACAGCGCCAGCCGCTGCCGCGCCGCTTCGCTGCCACAGCCGCTGCAGCTCGCTGCCGACACAGCCGACAGCTGCCACACAGCCGCACAGCCGAGACAGCCGCTGTCACAAGCACATACGACACAGCCGAACATCGCTGCTGACACAGACCACAGCCGACATCGCCACAGCCGCTGTCACAGCCACAGCCGACATCGCTGCCGACACAGCTACACAGCCGCTGCCGACAACAGCCGCCATGCCACAGCTGCCGACACAGCCGCTGTCACAGCCGCTGCCACAGCCGACATCACAGCCGACACAGCCGCTGTCACAGACATCCGACAAACAACAGCGACATACACAAAGCACAGCCGACACAAAGCCGACACAGCCGCTGTCACAGCCGCCGCGCAACAGCCGACATCGCTGCTGCACAATTGCCCGACACAGCCGCCTGTTGTTGGAGAAGAAATAATACGGAAGCTTCTCTACAACAATTACAAGAATATGTTAGAACATATTCATAAAAATATACAGCAGGTTATATCTAATCTTCAAGTCGATTTAAATAGAAAAATAAGTAATTTCGATCTTAAGTTAAAACAGTTAACAGACAAAAACGAAATTTTTAATTTATGCAATTTATATATGTCTAAAAACGATATAGTGCGAATTAATGAGAATCTAAATGCGATATTCAACGAGACCGAAGATTATGAACAATACAAAAAAAATTTAGGTGAGAACTCTGAATATATCGTTTATTTTTTTTGATGAACACAACAAATATGTTCGAATGTAATAATATAAGACGACTGCATAAATAGGTGTAGAGATATTAAAATATGTATAATAATAAAATTCAAGATCTCTCTAATAGTGTTGCTATAAAGACGTCTAATGTACCAAGAAACAGCATAACCAAGAAGAAATTATGGAGACCGAAGAAAATACAGCAACACAAGAACGCGTTAACGAAAACACTAATACTACTAGATATAATAACACCTCAGACGATACTGGAATTTGCAAAGATGTTAACAGATACAGTAACATCGAATAACACTAACCATAACGAGTCCAACATTACCATAAAATTGCATGAAAGTTCTATCTCGCAAGATAAAAAAAAATTCGAAAAGTATATTCATACGGTTGTTAAAAAACATCGATATCTCGATATTAAGAGATACCAAATTACGTAAAGATTTTGTATAGTAGAAAAGATATAGACTACATACATCCACTCCACTTTACTAACATGTTATCGTTAGATGCAGCATTCACCTTACTACCTTTATTTAGAGAAAGAAAAGTTAACGACATCTTGTGTAAGCTTAGAGCCACATTGAGTCTCCACCAAGAAGAAGAAAAAAGGATCTTCGACATTGTTAAATCATAAAACCACTGTAAACGAAACTGCTCTCAAGCTTTATCATGCGTTGAGAAGATGTCTTTGATTTTCTTTATACAGACCCTGGTGCACGCTCAATCATAAAAAAAATACGCGCGACCAAACAGCAGTACGTCGGTGTCATCAAAAACTCGTCTCCCGTACTCATGAATGCCTTAATAACGAATTGCATCTATTATGATACGGATATGATATCGACAATCGCCACCATAAATAATGGACACCTTAGATGCAATTCAAAAACACGTTCGCGTCAGAGATATCTTTGACATTGCCGTTATAGGTCTAATCACGGGCGTAGAGCAACTGCGACAGAGATGGGTTAATTCGACAGACTTTTCTGAGGGAACGAGACGAGACACGATGGTGATGGCCATTCATATACTCGAATTGGTATTTGGACGTCTCGTGCTACAAGCTCCGTCGACCTCGTTGTGGAAGACGCACAGAATATGCTATCAACTCCCATTCCTGTCTGTGATGATAGAATGCGTTGATAAGTTTTTTATAGTTGCCAGTCATAGAGCACTCCATCTTAGAAGAATATTAAATGACTACCGCCTTTCCGGTAAAAAAATTCATCATATACAGTCTCGACAAGAAACACTCTATGATTACGAGTCTCTCGATAAGCTTCTAGTTAATATGATCCAGATTACGAGAAATGTAAGAGAGCTTTTTTGGCTGTTTTTCATAATATTTTCCTCTTATTGTGTTCCTATGCTGGCGACTCTAATCTCGATATCGGAGACGATAAACAATACAGTACCATATTAGGGAAAAATGAGGATATAAAAACAGTTTTACCTTCACAGGTATCCATAGCGGATATGATAGATTCGAAACAAATATTATATGTAAATACAACAGCTACAGATATCTTCCGACGTATAATCGATTCAATGACAGCTAACGTTCCATCCGTGTTTTTAAAGACGCCAGAATTTAGATCAACCATAACCTATGGTGAAGTAAGCCTAAGTTGTGGTAATGGTATGGAGAATTTATCTAACGTACCCACACTCGATAATATAGAAAGGAGTGGTATGTTTAGAAGTTTATTTATATCGAATATTATCACACAGATGACGACAGATATAACGAACAGTCCAAACCAAAGATTAGTGGTAACTCATCTGGCCACTATACCGACATCTCCGATTTCCATTGAATTTAACGATATCGTCAGTGGGTCTCCTCCAATCAACTCATCCTCTTCTCTCGTTGGTAGCAATGTTAATGAGACAATCAATCTTTCCTCTTCTTCCTTTCAATACGATCACCACCCACTCATACAAATCGAGCTGATAGCAAATCATGTGACATTATCCCTGACAAACATAGGCGATGTGTGTACATTGGAAAAGTTGTTTAAAGTACGAGATCGCGTAAAGGAGATATTAAAGAAACCAGTGAACGTACTCGCTCCGGGAACACCTGTCTCTATTCCAAGAGACATTAACAAGAAAAGCAAGTTCGCTACCAGTAGCGGTAATGATCGTCGTCGTCATCTCCTTAAATCTTCAAAGACGTCTTCCTCGCTGGCACGAAAAGACAACTACAATAATTCTTTAATACAAGAACCACGGAATGCTCGAAGTACCTCCAACGTGAATACCACCGAGATGCTTGTAGTACCTAGCATTATTAACCCTCTTTTCATACAGACTACATTAACAAATAATCATGACGAACACGGCAGCACTCAAAGAATAAAAACGGGTGCCCTAAAAAGTGTGAATGAATCGTGCGGATGTCTTTTTTTATATATAAAATAAATACATGTTTGAGAATAAAAGTCAAAATATAAAATTGCATTTCTTTATTACCAAAGATAATTTTTATGAAATAAAACACTTCTTATGAATAACGATACAATATTTAAGAAACTCGTTATTTCGCTGATGGTGAAGAGGAGGAAGGTAATGATAATGATAATAAAACCATCCATAGTTGTTACCTTTTCACTGTCCTTATTAATCTTTAGAGTCGATGGTGATACAAAACTATTGTTATCAACATATAGTAATGTTCTCTCGGTGGTATTCACAACCACTCTAGTTAAAAAAGTGTTACCACCGAGAGAACATTACTATATGTTGATAACAATAGTTTTGTATCACCATCGACTCTAAAGATTAATAAGGACAGTGAAAAGGTAACAACTATGGATGGTTTATTATCATTATCATTACCTTCTCCTCTTCACCATCAGCGAAATAACGAGTTTCTTAAATATTGTATCGTTATTCATAAGAAGTGTTTTATTTCATAAAAATTATCTTTGGTAATAAAGAAATGCAATTTTATATTTTGACTTTTATTCTCAAACATGTATTTATTTTTATATATAAAAAAGACATCCGCACGATTCATTCACACTTTTTAGGGCACCCGTTTTTATTCTTTGAGTGCTGCCGTGTTCGTCATGATTATTTGTTAATGTAGTCTGTATGAAAAGAGGGTTAATAATGCTAGGTACTACAAGCATCTCGGTGGTATTCACGTTGGAGGTACTTCGAGCATTCCGTGGTTCTTGTATTAAAGAATTATTGTAGTTGTCTTTTCGTGCCAGCGAGGAAGACGTCTTTGAAGATTTAAGGAGATGACGACGACGATCATTACCGCTACTGGTAGCGAACTTGCTTTTCTTGTTAATGTCTCTTGGAATAGAGACAGGTGTTCCCGGAGCGAGTACGTTCACTGGTTTCTTTAATATCTCCTTTACGCGATCTCGTACTTTAAACAACTTTTCCAATGTACACACATCGCCTATGTTTGTCAGGGATAATGTCACATGATTTGCTATCAGCTCGATTTGTATGAGTGGGTGGTGATCGTATTGAAAGGAAGAAGAGGAAAGATTGATTGTCTCATTAACATTGCTACCAACGAGAGAAGAGGATGAGTTGATTGGAGGAGACCCACTGACGATATCGTTAAATTCAATGGAAATCGGAGATGTCGGTATAGTGGCCAGATGAGTTACCACTAATCTTTGGTTTGGACTGTTCGTTATATCTGTCGTCATCTGTGTGATAATATTCGATATAAATAAACTTCTAAACATACCACTCCTTTCTATATTATCGAGTGTGGGTACGTTAGATAAATTCTCCATACCATTACCACAACTTAGGCTTACTTCACCATAGGTTATGGTTGATCTAAATTCTGGCGTCTTTAAAAACACGGATGGAACGTTAGCTGTCATTGAATCGATTATACGTCGGAAGATATCTGTAGCTGTTGTATTTACATATAATATTTGTTTCGAATCTATCATATCCGCTATGGATACCTGTGAAGGTAAAACTGTTTTTATATCCTCATTTTTCCCTAATATGGTACTGTATTGTTTATCGTCTCCGATATCGAGATTAGAGTCGCCAGCATAGGAACACAATAAGAGGAAAATATTATGAAAAACAGCCAAAAAAGCTTCTCTTACATTTCTCGTAATCTGGATCATATTAACTAGAAGCTTATCGAGAGACTCGTAATCATAGAGTGTTTCTTGTCGAGACTGTATATGATGAATTTTTTTACCGGAAAGGCGGTAGTCATTTAATATTCTTCTAAGATGGAGTGCTCTATGACTGGCAACTATAAAAAACTTATCAACGCATTCTATCATCACAGACAGGAATGGGAGTTGATAGCATATTCTGTGCGTCTTCCACAACGAGGTCGACGGAGCTTGTAGCACGAGACGTCCAAATACCAATTCGAGTATATGAATGGCCATCACCATCGTGTCTCGTCTCGTTCCCTCAGAAAAGTCTGTCGAATTAACCCATCTCTGTCGCAGTTGCTCTACGCCCGTGATTAGACCTATAACGCAATGTCAAAGATATCTCTGACGCGAACGTGTTTTTGAATTGCATCTAAGGTGTCCATTATTATGGTGGCGATTGTCGATATCATATCCGTATCATAATAGATGCAATTCGTTATTAAGGCATTCATGAGTACGGGAGACGAGTTTTTGATGACACCGACGTACTGCTGTTTGGTCGCGCGTATTTTTTTTATGATTGAGCGTGCACCAGGGTCTGTATAAAGAAAATCAAGTAGACATCTTCTCAACGCATGATAAAGCTTGAGAGCAGTTTCGTTTACAGTGGTTTTATGATTTAACAATGTCGAAGATCCTTTTTCTTCTTCTTGGTGGAGACTCAATGTGGCTCTAAGCTTACACAAGATGTCGTTAACTTTTCTTTCTCTAAATAAAGGTAGTAAGGTGAATGCTGCATCTAACGATAACATGTTAGTAAAGTGGAGTGGATGTATGTAGTCTATATCTTTTCTACTATACAAAATCTTTACGTAATTTGGTATCTCTTTAATATCGAGATATCGATGTTTTTTAACAACCGTATGAATATACTTTTCGAATTTTTTTTTATCTTGCGAGATAGAACTTTCATGCAATTTTATTTTTNACATGTTTGAATGCGGCAGCACTCAAAGAATAAAAACGGGTGCCCTAAAAAGTGTGAATGAATCGTGCGGATGTCTTTTTTATATATAAAAATAAATACATGTTTGAGAATAAAAGTCAAAATATAAAATTGCATTTCTTTATTACCAAAGATAATTTTTATGAAATAAAACACTTCTTATGAATAACGATACAATATTTAAGA